ATCAAGACATGCAAACAAATGCAAACTGTGCCTCAGTTAAAGAAGTAGCTGGAGAAGAGCACTGACAGGATGCAGATCAGGAGCAGGCCCCAGTAGAGCGACCTCTTCAAGGAACAATCCGAGACCGGACAGGAAAGCACTTCAAAATGTCCAAGCTTTTGGAGCAGATAGTGGCATATCGGCTGAGCAAACCACGTACGATTCAGCTCCACAGGAAGCATGGCATCGTTGGGGCGAGGCTCGGGCAAAGCCTCCATAGCATTGCAAGGTCATGCTGTTTGGGTTTGATTGTCATAACTTAGTTGAGGGTGTAGCATGCAGGTGAAGGGTATGCTGCTCAGAGGGACAGCACCACTTGCAGCTGTAAACTTGCTTTGTCACGTGGGTATCAGCACCCCTGCACGCCCATGCACAAAATGACCTGCTTGGTTAATAGGTTAGTACACGAGCAAAAAGATCTGCAAGTTCTGCCCTTGGGTTCAACAAATATTGACAGTGCTCCTCTCTTGAATCCTCCCTGTATACTGCTGCCGCCAATATGTAGCATACCTCAAACATGCCCGTGTTTCTGACCAAGTTCTGACGGAACAACACGGAGCAACACGGCCGCGGCTGAAATCCCACGTGTAGATCCGAGCAATGAATTCAGGATCATCCTCCCAGGATTTGAGAAAGTGCACGAAGCATCACTAGCAGGGCCTGCATGATCACCACCGGCGTCTTCTCGGCAGCGGGAGTGCCAGGCATCACAGTGCTGAGGGCGCGGTTAGGTACCACGAAGTCGGCCTCCTGCGTCTCTTCAAGTACTTCGTCACTACCTTCCTATGGCTCCCGTTTTCCCCCGAAGGCCTGGGTTGGCGTCTGCAGCAGCCACGCGCATGCAGCAGCAAGCACCAGGGTGCAGAGAATGGGGCGACGGAAGGCCATTGTTTCAACCTGCCAGACTTGGCAGCCGACAATGTGCCGATGCCAGGAGGCCTGGGAGGCTGGGGCATCTAGAACTAAGACCAGCAAAAAGGTAGCAGTTCCCGCCCAACCCCCCGCTCCCAGGCCGCACCTCCGAGAAGTAGGTGTTCCTTTTTTTGAATTCGGGATCTGGCTTGACTGCCAGTACGTTGGCAGGGCCCCTCACCAACAAAGCCAGCACGAAACTGTTGAGAACACTTGCTTTTCATGCCTTCAGCCTGGTATGACTTCGGCGTCCCTGTGCTGTCGAACCCGCCCTTCCTTTGCCCCCCAAGGCGGCACTGTCGGTAGCGATTAAATCAGGTCTCAGAACTCTGGCAATCCTGTCTGGCCTCGGGCAGATGCGCACTAAGGCGGGAAGCTGTTGAAAGTCTTGAGCCCAACATCCGTGCATGGCTTTCAAAATCGGTCCTCACAGCATCTGCCCCAAAATGATTACGGGCATTTTGTATGAACGTCAAAAGCCAAGACGGACCGCTTGAAATGCAGCACTCATCGCATGCCAAGTGCCCAGCGGACGCTCTTCGCCTTGACAAGGACCGAAACGTCAACGAGTGACACAAACCCCGAAAGTTCAACAACCTGCAGGGACGACAGAGAATGAGTCTGCCGCCACAAGCGAAAGAAGGATGTCGTCATCATGTTGCTCCTCGAGACTCAGGCAATCGCCACAGCAGTCGCAAATCAGATAGAGGCATCACAAAAGTTGTGAGCTCCTTTGGAAGATCCGTATAGTAAAGATCAAAGGGGATTTTCATTGCGTTGTTTCCAGAAACCCAAGGCTTGAGAAACCTTCCGGCAGCTACACCTTTTATACCCCCAATATATTACAGTCCTTATCGCAGGGCCCCCAATTATTGGAAATACCCACAGACCGAGCTTTTTGAATCCGAGTTTGTGCAGCACGGCTCACACTTGCACTTGACGAGTTCGCAACCATCCCTTTGAAGTGTATGTAGGGGCTATATAGGGATACATGATGTCTCAAAACAAAGAGGCAAAAAGGTGTACATTGGATTTTCTAGGATTTAAGGTTTCCAACAGCTAGGGGTTTGTCTGGGGCCCGTATGATACGGACTACATTATGTGGGGTATTAAGGAAGCCCCCTTTTTTTTGGCAACTGTCAAAGGGCTGTGGAAGAGTTTTGCTGATGTCAGCAAACAACTCCTCCGCAACAGTTTAGATCCTCTGTCAAGTGCTCGACAACTGCTTGGCAGTCCGGTTTCCGCATCATCCCATGGAAGTAGCGAGTTTGGCTCTTCTTCAAATGCCCAGCAGGGTGGCGAGAAAAATGAACTTTTTGGGGAAGAAGGAACTCAAAATTCCACAGGCGGTCAACCGCTTCTAGGCAACTTGCCTCTGACAAGTTGCATGGTGCAATTGAGAAAGCGCACTAACACCGCAAGCAACTTACTGGTGATTCATGCAGACTGGGCAGTTTGATGTACCGACTTTACACAGATTGCTCTGAAGATAACCCACCAGTAAGACAAGGCGTTCGGAGCCCTGCTTATCTATTTGTCGCTCACACACTTGGGCTGGTCAGCACTGACGGCCCTCAGCATGTCTACACCCGTGCGGATCGCGCTTCTTAGCGCCGCGGGGTTCTGCCTGCAGCTGATGATGATGATGATGATGGTGATGATGATGATAAGCATCATCATCATCATGGTGATGATGATGATAAGCATCATCATCATCATCATCATCATGGTTATTAGTATTCTGATATTCCTCATCATCTTCATCATTAGAACAGATGAAGGGCCGTCATCATAAAGATGAGAAAGCGAAGCACTGAAAGATGTTGGTATTATGATCCCGCGTCTTCTGTATGGCTGCGTTTGAAACATTGCTGGATTTCTCCTGGCCTGACTGTAGGCTGGTGCTAGTTCCTCTGCCAGTGAAACCTTTTCAGGCACAAGGCTCTGCAAAGATGGCTGCAAGCTTCCTCAAGGCAAGCGAAGGCCTGAGACTGGCGAGGCTGGCTGGAAAGCCCGACCTGAGCTGCGTCAAAGGACCAAACATCTCCCCAATCAGATCTCGAGAACTCCGCCTGCAAGTGGAGCCAGCGCCAGGGATCTGACGGCTGCAAAGGCTACCTTTCCCGCACTCCCGAAGCTGCGCAACCCCGGCTGCAGACCATGAAACTGCTTGAAGCTTTCTACATGCTGCGCAGCTGTTTCTGGACCGCCAAAGCAGAAGGAAGAAGAACAAGAAAAGAAGCTGCGTGCAGCTGCTTGATGGAGCTTGAAAAAGACACGGTCTTCGCGCACCCCCTACCCCCTGCCTCAGCAGCAGCCGCGGCAGAGTCTGTCTGGGCTTCCACTGGAGCTTCCACAGGTGCCCTCGCCTCCAGCACCGGAGCCAGAGTTGAAGCAAGCGATGCTCAGGGCAAGAAAACCACTGCGGAATAAGAATAATAATAATGCAAATAATAGTAGTAATAATAATAATAATAAGGAGGATATTAAACCATACCCATTGGGATAATATTAGGCTTGTATTGGGGTTGCATTGGGAGAATGGAAAAACAAATGGAGACTACTCGTTAGGGTTTAGGGTTTCGGGTTTCGCATGTTAAGATCCGAACCGCCGCTGGAGGCACCAAGACCTGCAACAACCGTGAAGCAGACACTCTGGCAGGGAGTCTCCAGGCTCTGACCGTCAAAAGGCTGGCGGCATTAGTCGACGGGGCCGTTGAGGTGCCAAGACCTAAGCTAAACTGCAAAACAAAAACGCAACACTGTAATGCAAATATTGTATACTCTGTGCCTCAATAGCCCACTACAGCATACTATGATGTCCGGTAACTGCATACGGGCTACCGTTGACCCGCTCACGTCGGATGGTTGAAATTGCTCTGTGAAACCCTGCCGCAGTCAGTCACAAATCTGAGATCAGAACTGGGCATAACACCAAACGGTGAAAAGCTATGGCTGGAAGAGTGCCAGTCCTGTCAGAGCAGAAGCATGCTTCAAAGACAAAACCCTAGCTGGGATAATGGTACAAATGTGTTCCGACTCTGCCCGTCCTCACGGCTCTTGTAGCATTCGCCACCTCGGCCAGCAGAGCACCAAGCCTCCTGAATCCTAGAAGCAACTTTTTCCTCCATTGTATGTTGGTAATGTCTGAATTTGTTTTTGTTGGGGTGATTCTTTAATTGCACAAAGCTAAGCCGGGCCAAGCGGCACAAAACAAAGTCCTCACAGTCCTTGCAACGGTAGCAATCTCCCACGACTGGAGATACGGAGCCTCAGTTGCCATCATGATTTGACATGCGAGGCAGCAGGGCATCACAACACCTTGATTTGGGACAAGAACATAGTCTGCAAGCAGCAAAGTTCAGAATATTGCACACAAGGTATATGATGAGCAAAAAGCTGCAACAGGGATAGATCAAGATCATCCTGAGATGCTCACAAGAACCACAAACTAAACCAAAGTGAACAGGCTCTCCGCGACGCATAGACCTGCCGTGTGGCTTCTTTGATAACGGTAGACCCCCCCCCGGTCATAGTACAAGCGAGCTGTATCGGACTCTACCCATCTACGTCGCTCTGCTGCCTGCCAGGAAGATTGGCTGCTGAGCAAGGCTGCAGAATCACATGCCTTGAAGCAGAGCACAGTGTGCCTGCTGTTGCTGCTCTTGCGCCATGCGCTCTTGCTTGACCTTTTGAACTGCAAACTTCCCTACAATGTCGCCAAGTCTGTCAAGGATTGTCAACCAGCCTTCTCTAAAGCATCAGCCTGCACGGAAGTGGGCTGCGAGAGACTAGGTATCCTCTGGAAGTACAATTGAACTGAAGATTATGAGGTCCAGCCTCCTCTTTAAGGCCAATGCTTCGCAAATACCTTCAGCACCATGTCTACCATCATGGAGGCGCTGCATGCCAGTCCTGTAGCTAGTCAGGAACAGCCAGGCCTGACATCATCCACCTCCAGCTCCAACCTTCGAACCACATCTGAAAGTAACGGAGCAGGCAACAGGGCAAGCAGCAAACCTGCATGTCGGGCATGTGTGTCGGCGTGTAAGCCAGCGTCGAATGCAGTCCTGAGCACAAATGCAGTCGGAGAACGCCTTGACATCTAAGGCACCGCACGACAAAAACAAGGCTGCCCCTTGAAGCCAACACCGTTTCCAAGCAGTTCTTGTCACAGCTAAACTGCTAAACTATGACCTGCTTGTTCGCCAACACAGTCTAAACTAAATAGGCTAAATGTCCACTCACGCTACTGTACCGCCCGAAGAAATTGCCTTGGCAACCTCAGGGCTATACAGGCAAATCACACCAACAAAACACACCACATACGCAAACGAAGCAACAGAACGAGAAGACAACAACAGAACAACGGAGGCTCCATGTCGAATTTCATGGGACTCAAGTCTAGCCAGGAGCGTTACACTCCCTCCTTGGCCCCCCATCCCACCCAACGGAAGCATCACAGCAGCAGAATCCTGAAAAATGCATGACGTTTTTTGACCTGTTAACATATACATGCAGCGATGGCTTTTTGTACTTGGGCAGGTTGGCATATGCTATATGCAGCTTTGCATCAGCATGGCTTCCATCAAGACTTGTTGAGAGTGCATGATACTCTCTAGGCTGCCGAGAAGAGAAGCGAGAAGATTGTGTAGAGTTTCCAGTGTGCAGCAGCTCCCAGCATGTACAGGGAGCTTGAACTGTATTGGATGACAGTCACCATTACCACCAGCCATGCGAGTACCTGTACAAATGCCATGCGTACTGCTTCATGCAGACAAGGGCTGGCAGTGTACATATCCTAGCTTCAGTACCTGGCTGCACCAAGGAAACGATTCCGACTGCCATCAAAAGCTCAGCATGTATTGGATCAGTACTGCTTCCAGCTTCACTGACTTAGTTCTACAGTCGCTTCTTTCGGGCAATGAAGTATCTACTAGCCTGAAAGTTGCATTCATACGATAGTACCGCACATAGCCACTGGAATGGCCAATTGGGAGGTAGAAGAAATACATGTCTCTGTACTGTTTATTCCCAGCCTGCCTCGTGGAAAACGTGCTGACAGTTCAGCGTGACGACAGGAGTCCCATACTGGCGCAGACGTCCAAAGCCCGGGGCGTGCACATGTCACAAGTGGAGCCTCGACTATGTCTTCTGCACAAATGACGCAGTGCCCTCCACAAACAGTTTGGTGAGGCGATGCCTGGCCAGGATGCGCTGAGACTCTCAGAGACTCTGAGAGGCTCCATACATCTCCACATTCAGCCATTTTGGTTTCCTGGAGGCCTTGAGCCTGGAGACGAAGGCATCGCAGGCAGGCTCTGCTGGAAGCTCCCAGTCCTCCTAAGCACTTGAGAGTCTAAGTGGACTTGAGACTGCTGGCTGCAACTGGTCCACATCCTCCACCCCGAAACTCAGCGAGGCAGAGAGACTCCCTGCCAGAATGAACGACTAGAATGTCGTCACTCCAAATAATTGTGAACCCTGCCACATGTGATCCGTTTTCTCATGCAGCTATGATGGCTGAGGCTCACACCTGGTTCACTCTCCCCAGACACGACCCGCTGCCGCGCAACAACGTTAGGCAGGACTCGGAGTAGAAGGCCGCCATCCTCGCGACCAGCGATCAATGGCGTCAACTCGACTTTATTCATACCATTGCTGACTCCTCTGGGCGCTCGAGCGCGACCACTGTCACTGACCTGACCAACGTTATCGAACCCAGCAAGCTGCCTGATGCATGCGACGCTCCGGGGAACGACGCATCTCCAAGCAGAGCTCTCATCCCAGAACACCAGGCCCAACGCTCTACACGGGAAGTCGGCGCTGCGGAGCTGGAGGGCAAAGCGCCTCTGAATCTAAAGCAACACTGAGCTGGCATTGCCGTGCAAAATTCAGTGCAAAGCTCTGTAAGTTTTTAGGGCCTCCAAGCGATAGAGCCCGCATGGCCGATGTGGGCGACGTTACCGGAAGCCGGGCCTTGGGAAAAGCTTTCGCAACTCTCATGCCTCAGAGTTCGGAGTTAGATCTCAACTCCTCAAATACGGGTTACCAAAAATTCGTGCATCCTGATCCTTGGAGCCACAAGCTTGAAAGGTCTTGAACTTGCCAGAATCTTCGAGCCTGAGACCTTTTTTGGGAAGCCTACCGGTCAAAGGGTCGCCATGGAGGGGTTGCGTTCAGGGAGGCTGGATCTGCTCTCCAGAACCTTGGCTAAAGCACATTGATGCAACTGTGCTGGGAGAAGGGCGTCTGTGACCTCGACACCCTCCGTCGCACCACAGACTGCGCAACCTGCAGCTAAAACGCAAAAATCGCGTGCAACTCTGAATGCACCAACAGTTCTCGGCTCAGCTTCTCGCGTGGGCGCTCCACTCCATCAACCATTGCCTTACTTTGCATGGCAGACCCCAGCAATAAAGCGGCGCACCGATCACCTGGAATTCTTGACATCTAGGCCATGTGCTGTGCGAGATCCACAGCCATGGCAGAAAACACGCCCATCTGCAGCTGACGCACCTCATGATGCATGACAGTATCATGAGGCAGAGAGGAAAACATCATGGCAATGCCCACCTGCTCCCATTTTCCCTTTGCTAGGGCTCGCAGTGGGCGCAGTGGGTTGCAGGAGCCATCGGAGACAGATGCAATTCCGCCCTGAAACAGCTCCCGTTCCGTCCTGTTGTACGTTGCACAACAGCTGCTTTTGTCAGATGGTGTGATTCTACACCTTGTGTGCGCATTGTTCAACAGTGCTTTCATGTCCATCAAGCTGAATTGGATGCAATGACAAGACATGTCTGATGAGTTCTGAGACTACAGCAGCCCAATGTCAAAGCGTAAGCGATCAGAAGCGCCTACCTAACTGACTGGGGGCTAGTAAGGAATACGGGAAAATGATCCCTATGCAATACACATATATATATATAGCCTTTTTCCCTACTGACCCCCGTAAGATAATCAGCCACAGTTTGCGATGCCAACTCTGCAAATGGCTGTGTGCCACATGCTGCTGTACTTGAAAATTTCCCCGCGGGAGCCTGTGTAGAAGCGTGGGCAGGAAAACTTGCAGGGATCGTGATGGGCGGCGGCCTAGGAATGATTGCCGTGCTGAATCTGAAGTATTCAGTGGTCCTTTCTTCACACTTTAAGGTTTCGGACTAGAATCCTGAAACCAGCTCAGAAGAACATTCAGCAAAATGGAGGTGGATCTCAGGTCAACACTTGCGTCTTTCCACGCTCATGTCTGCGCCGCTGCTTGGAGTATGCTGGCACAGCATGAACAGAGGAACGTAAGGAGCTAAGCAACATCAAGTGCCCCAGCCTTGCGCAGAAAGTTCTCCAGCACAGCCTCGTGCCTGCTACTTTCCTTGGAAAGGCAGGAGCCAGAAGCTGGGGTTGTTTGGCACGTATGCAGTGGTGAGCATTGCTGCTATCTGTTCTTTGTTTTCAGAAATCTGCCATCAACGTCTGTAATGCGAGGCGTTCATTGAATAAGCAGCACTGCGAAACCATGCTGAAGTTCTGTTGCATCTTGCTGAAACCCCAACGCCTTCTTTAAATCAGTACACAGCATGGTACTGCGCCACAAGGCACGCCTGCCTTGAAGACTCATGTTGCTGCTGTTCATGTTGGAATTCTGTGACAAAGCCTGTGCTGATTTTTCTGCTTTGATTGCTGTTCTTCATTCAGACGTCTTTCGCCTTCTGTCTTTTAGGCCTCCTTACAAATGTGTTTTCTCTCACCGGTGCTCATCGCTGGTCAGGATTTTGTCTCGCTTGACAAGACTGATGCTTTGTGAGAAGCCGCCAGTGATGGTGTCCGTGAAGGAGCCCCAGTTATATGGAGTATGTAATTGTCATCGTCCAGTTTTTTGTGCTCGTTAACGGAAATGAATCTGGCGCTGCTTGCAATATGCTAGCAAACATGACCTGCAGCACACCATGACCAAGCACCCTGCTTGATTTCGCTGCGAAGTGGTTGGCGGTGCAGGGGGGGGCAATGGCGGAGCACTCAGCCCAGAAGGCAAGGTGCCAGCTTTGGCCATCACGGCCCCAAGCACATGGTCATCGCGGCACGGCGCAGCTAGCGGAGGTGCAGGAGCGGCCGGTGCAGCAGGCGCTGTGGCAGCAAACGTTGTCGGTTTCCCCCCCAACAAACTGATTGCTGCTGCTGCACCCGGAGTAGCAGGCCCCAATGCAACCATTGCTTGGGTCGTGCCAAGCAGCGCGCCTGCCGGCAAAACTCAGGCAAGTCACCCACTTGAAGAGGCGACGTCATCGGGCGACTCTCATCTTTATGCCCCATGAAGCCGAACTGCACTGATCCTTCACCTACTACTGGAATACACTTAACCTTAACCACCCATGTTGGAATGCTTGCTTGAAATGTGCTGTGATTGTGTTCACAACAAACCCTGTCAAGCTCACCTGACACGTCTTCATGACCCGCTATGGCTCATCGAGCTTACCCTTGACGATTCTTACAGCTCTGTTGTGTCATGGTTGCTGCAAAGCTGCAGCACAACAACAATCCGACAGCCAAGAAATGAAGTCGTTCTCGCCAGTTTGGACGAACTTGCCGTGAATTTGAACCAACATGACCTTCGCATCCGAGCAGCGACGGGTCGGAATCCTGAATGCGTTACACCAAACCCAGAAAATTTGCAAAAATCATCTTGTGATCAACACCGTAGGCAAGTACATGCCCGTGCCACGAGAATCATGATGCAAATTCTCACAACCGCCCCCCGATTAATTAAACAAAAACCCTTCGCCAGCTGTGACACCATGAGCCTGCCATAACGGGAACATTTAGGTGACAATCCCGGACTTTGAGGTTCTCAGCGTAGTATAAATTCTGGAGTGCATGACAAACTGGAAACATACTCCAAAACAGACATGTTTCTACATTTTATTCACAAGGCACTCACACTGCAACATGTGTCTGCGTCCGGACAAAGTTAAAGTCCGACAACAAGCATGGGGACGGCGGTTCCAACATATTTCATCCTTGTATTTGGAGGAGACGTGCAACAATGATCTAAAGATGGTGCACTAAATTACAAGTCTATTCTTTGTTCGGGAGGTGTAGCTTGTGGCGGTGGATCCACGCTTCCGGCCAAAGTTCCCAAAAAACGATGGTGAGAAGCTCTAAAGAAAATACTTGCCAAAGTTTCTTGCCAGCACTCAAATTTTGCATGCAAAACAAAACGTTGGCACGCATGTGTTCATAATAGATCCTGCCATTTTATGCTAAAAATTCCAGTCGCCTCTGATATTACCTAGCGTTTGTGGTGTGAAGAATGGAAAGCTGCGGGGTCCCCATTTTGTGTTTGCGTAAACCGAATTATGTTCTCAATCATGTGCAAGTAACTAATCAAAAAAGTCAGCGTTGCATGCAGATTGTTCTTAAAATTGTTGTTTGTTTTGTAACCTCTTCTTATTAATGACGCACTCTTCTGTATGACACATGGAAAAACTTGTTAAAGGCGACCAGTGCAATGACATGACATCTTATTCTTTGTATCCCATAGCTGGTTTCCTTGCAATGGCATGCAGTGATATGAGCCCTCATTTCGTTGCATCGAGATCTCCGTCCAAATCATCCTTTTTCATGATGTACGTGCCCATATTCTGCATGCCACTGTTACCGGTACCGCATCCTTCCACATTGCATTTTTGGACATCTCGATACCCCATCATTCTTAACCGGGAGCCCTCCCATGTTTCCCATTAAAAAGTGCGCACAGCTCTCTACATATGGCCTTAATTTGTAGGATTTGGCATTGTTTTCCATGTTTTTGACATAAAAATGCTCTCTCACTCGCCATCATAACATTTACATGCACCCTGAAGGCACGCTCGCTCGTGTGAGTATCTGCATCTCATGCTCGCGCAAGTGGTACTCTTTTGCAAAGGCGGCACACACAACTGGCAGCTTGTTATGTGGAGAATCTTGTTATTTCCTTTAGCACCGTGGCCACATTCGCTCAAATGATCATCAATCAAAAGATGTATTCAAATGATCCTTGCATGCCCGAAGACACTACAAATTCGGATGCACTCACGTGATCATCGATCAAGATATGTATTCAAAATAATACATACTCAAAATATGTCATCACAATTTCGCGATGTCGCATAAATAAAAACCATCTATTTCAAAACATCACTGTAATCAC